GCCCCATGATGCTTTACGTGAAGAGCTTCAAAATGGCGGAAGAGAATCGTGTTGAAAGGGTCGCTGAAAGGTAAATATTAAAATCTTATCGCTAATAACATTATTTTACTTTTGGTCAAACTATCTTTTAATTAGTTAAATGCATAGAATCAAGCGTAGTCCTAAAAAGTCCCACTATTTATGAATATCTATTCCGTGGGACAATATGGCAAATCTGTTTAGCGTTTCACAACTTAAAAACTGCATTCTTCACGCTATTAATATGTTAAAGCCTGTGTTTACATTAGTTGGTGTGGTTAACTAGCTAACTAGATTGCTATTAATTAACCTTATTAGATGAAGATCATTAGTAAACTTACTTTAAATAATTCGTAGTTCCCCAGTTTTTTTTGCCAACTTCATTTTCTTAAATAAAGAAGAAAAGAGGTTTCACTCCACTAACTAATAATTATTCCTCGACGCTCACATGCATGTGTTAGTGACAGAGAGTTCTCTGCGAAATGTAATATGCACTCAGGTATAGCTCACATCTGTGACAGCAAATACTTTGCAAATGATTTATCAACCTCATTCCCAGGGTCTGAGACCCTGGGAACGAGGTTGATAATTTATTTGTCAGTGCTTGATTTATCTTGTGTGTAATGAAAAACAAATGCACTGCTCACCTTTGTTGATACGGCGATGCATAGCTTGCCATTCTGTGGTCCTCCAAAGACTGAGTGTGGTCAGTAAGATGCTGTGGTAGCCCTGTTGCTTGTGGCGACATGGGCGGCCCAAGGGGATCCCCTTCACCGACAATTGAATGGTCCTGAAATGTAGAATGAACCAGACCCAGTCATCAACAGTGCAATGTGAAAAAGCGCTGTTCAATAGCTTTCGCTTGAATGGTCACATGCTAGAGTTTCATCCACACACTTGAAAGTAAGATCAGAATCACTCTGTAAATTTCTTACCTCAAGTGACATGTAATGTGCATGTGGGTGTTGTGGTTGTCCATGCTGATGCATCATTTGCCAAGAAGCTTGCGAGAAAGAGCTATGAACTGGACTAGTTATGTACTGCGAGCCTGACATTTGTAATTGGTTCATCTGACTGGCTAGGTGTTGCACAGAACTCTGCTGCATTGGACCGACATTGTGCTCCATTGATGATGGTGTTACCGCTGTTGCTGCTGCCGCCGCTGCTAGTTGACTCTGAATCAAGAAATATAATGCAGGTTAGCAATGAAAGCAGTCAGCCTGTAGTGTCATCTGATGAATAGACCTACAGTGGAACCCTGATAATCCGGTCACCAATGAGCCACAAATATCTGGCTGTATAAATGGGGTGGCCGCATTAAAGGGGTTCTTTAAATAAGAAAATGACTGACTGAGCTTTTGTTCTGGCCAGAATAAAGCGGCCATAATATCAAGGTGGCCTTTCTAAGGGGTTGGCCTTAAGGCAGGGTTACACTGTATTGGTTTAAATTGTAAACTTAAGTAAAAAGAGGCACAGTGTATGGTGGTTAGCATATCAGACAAGAGGACTGGGTTCAAGCACCCAGGGTATGCTGCACAGTGTATGCCTGTCTAAAAACATTTGCAACAAGGCAATTCTTTTTAATTAGCACCAAGTCTGGTTATAGATGCATTTTCAACTGAATTAATTGACATGAAAGTTTCATGGTAATCGTGCTGGAAACTTAGTGCTTTGCAATTTGGGAAGAAAATGGATGAAATATTGCTTGCTTTGATTTAATATATCAAACACGAAAGACCACATTTTCAAGCACCAAGAAGAGAGTTGAAAATACGACACGCAGTGCCGAGCAGGATATTTTTTTATGAACATCAAGCTGGTGTAACACAGTCTTGAGTGTTTGATATATCTTCTCAATGGATGTTGATTTGCTGTGGATATCGGGCGGGGTTGTAATGACGCCAAAATTTTTTAGCCCCCTCATTCTGAATTTTATCTGAGTTCTGCCTGACAAAAATGTCAATTCAGGTATTGTGAAACTGGGATTTTGTCCCAAAACCAAATACACACATGTACAGAAGTGCAAATCACAAAAGAAAGCGAAATTACATGTACAGTGCATGCACAGTGTTACTCACCGGTTGAAGTTGATGCTGCATCTGAATGTATGGTTGATGTGTAAGCCAGCTTCCACCTCCTGCTGCTGCAAGCTGGTATGCTAAAGGTATGTTTGTTTGGACAAATGCTGTACCCTGCTTCAAGGCAAACAAAGCAATTCTGTATTTCAGTCAGCCCTCATGCAACTGCCCCTGCAGGGTTTTGGCCCAGGCCTGATTACCACTAGAACATTATTTAGAGCTCCACATTTA